TTAAGGCACTAAATGGTGGTCAAATAAAAGTATGATGATTAGTTTTTAGAATCTAAAAAAGGGGACAGTTTAGAATGAACTACTAAATCTTTTTCACAAACAAATAAGGCATCCTGTTGGCAAACACAAACAAAACACAAGGTCATGTTGAACCTAATACATTCACTGTCTCTGCTAAACTACTGGAACTGCGCGGCTACCAAACTTAAGAAAGCTGCAATAGCACGTATCAAGGCTGAAAAGGCACCAAAAGCAGAACTCTACCACTTCCAGTTCTAAGAGCTGCGGAAGCTGTGCGGAACACTGCATATCATCTGATTATTAACTTTGTTCTTCACAAATCTATCTTGTAGTTAGATTTTTGCTTCAACAAATCCACTCATGAAGTGTTAGTTCAGTAAGAAATTAATGAATTAGGAAATTGCTGCAGTGTCTAACACAGCCCTATTTATAAAGCTAAACTAATTCTAGCACTGAATGTACATTCAGGGTAACACTGGAGCAAATCTGTATGAACAAAGATAATGGTTACCTCAAGACAATTCACAATAGAAATAGGACATAAAACTAAATAGATTTACTGAAAACAATGAAGTGTAGTACAAATACAAAGGACATAATTATAACCACAATATTTTCCTTGTGAAAAATACAACTATTAGTAAAAAAATGTACAATTGAAAAATTTCCAAAGAAAAAACACAGAATAAATGAAAATACTTTTCTTTGAGATAGGGAAAATAGTATGTCACTGTTTCTTTTATCACAATATAATTTGACACAAAAAGCACAGAATTGCACCAATTCCATATCCAGTTTCCTGAACATGTCAAAAGGAGTCCATAAAGCAGAATGCAGTTTCTGAATTTTATATGTAAAGGTGATATTTTCATACAAGATGTCACAGCACACCAGATCTGTTTACACAATGTACAATAGCTTCTGTTTTGTGGCTAGACTGGAATACAAACATATGCTTTCTGCCACCTCTTTCATTCTGGTATTAGCCAGAGTCTGACAATCAAGTTACTTAGGTGTTATTTCTCCAGCCATGAAGGAAAATTATACTTAGTGCATGCTTCATCATTTGCCAAAAAGCATTTCTGAAAATAAAACTCAGTTACCTGATGGTTTATAAAATAGAAAACTAATTCCTTAGGATAAAATGTCACAGGATGCAGGTCCGCTTCTAAGGACCGATTTCCGTGGCAGCACCTGTGTCCTCTAGCAAAGGTCCCGGTAAAAGTTCCGCAGTGGAAGAGCACATCCCCAGGAGCCCACTGCTTGACATTGATTATCTGTGACCACCCCCTTCACAATCTCATTAGTGCTATAAAAAAGACGGAATTTGTGTGGAAATGTTAGGAACATTTCTGCTGTACATGATTTAGAAGTTCTCCAAATTTTTCAAATAGGTCCTCTACCCATTTTACATTTTTCATACAAAGTTGAACAATTTCTTCTTGTCCTAAGTCCTCATTTTTTTTCTGCACAGAAGAAATCTAAAATAAAGAAAGTTGTCATGTTAGTACTTATCACTTTATTATATATAAGCCTTTCACAGGGCTTTATCTTTCTGTATCAGGAATGAAAAGATTTATCAGTTCATCTATACACACTGATTATTTTTCACTCCCACTCGTGCAGAATGATTACTTCAGGTAAATTTGGATTTGATCTAGTCTTACTATCACTGGCTCCATAGTGGCAGACAAAAAGACTGGAAAAAGTATCTCAAACTTTCTGAAGTCCTTTCAATATTGTTAAAAACCAAATATCAGGGTTACTTCTGTTTTCAGAAAATTAGCGTATTTTGCATCTTCATCTTTGCTTTTCCTTTAAGGTTAGATTTAAGAACACCCTTCCAACCCAACTACTGTGTAACATATCACGTTTAGCTTTGAGCCCATCTATATGGTAGTACTAGCTACACATTTATTTTGAGGAAATTAATCCTTAAATCCTATCCACAAAGAACTGTTCCCATATATAATTACCGAGAAACTTGAAACTTATGATTCTTAAAATTATAATTAACAGTGCCTACTTGGCAAGTGTGAGGTCCTGAGTTACATTCTCTGTACTAAATAACTACATAACTAAATAAATCAAATACACTAAAAATAAAAATTGAATTTTAACTTGCATTTTTTCATCTCAAGGCACAAAACCCCAATTCTGTGTAAGTAAGCAGGATAAAGCTATTCAGTGGTAAGATAGGAAGGCTTTGAAGCAATAAATAAATTGAATTAAAGGAGGATCATTTTTTTGTTTTGTTTTGTTTTTTGGCGGAACCGGGAATTGAACTCAGATCCTTGTGTTTGCCAGTCAAGCGCTTATCCTACTGAGCCATCTCCCTGACCCTGAGGGAGGATCATTTTATAAGAGAATAAGATGCTCAAAGCACCATGCACTATGCAATACAAAGCAAATACTAGCATCTTAAAAACATCACCATTCATAGCTCAAGAGGTAGTAATACACTAAAGAATCTGAGCATAAAACAGCACAGAAACTCAAAACAATAAATTTGGTCATTACTTAATAGTAGAACACAGGAAAAAAAAAAAAACAGCCAACTACCCCAAGCTCCCATATATATATAGACACATATAATTACATATACATATTTAACACTTCATTTTAAAGCATTCACAAATCATAGTTTCCTTAACATTCACAAAACATACATTTCTTTTTTAAATAATAAAATTACCTCATCTTTACATATCAGGTAAACGTGATATTTATAATGATGGAGTGAATGGTACAAAGAATACAGTTGTATCTTCTCTGGATCAACAGCAAACTCCTATAAAAAGAAACAGTTCATGGAACATCTGAACTAAGAATACTTGTGGGAAAATACTAGATCAAAAGTCTCACAGTGGGGTCGGGAAGATAGCTCAGTGGCACAGCACCTGCCTGCCAAGTGCAAGGTCCTGAGTTCAATTTGCAGTACCAAAAACAAACAAGTCTCATGGCAATCTTGAAAATGCCTGGCATAGTTAGGCATAAGGTTGAATTAACATGCAAAGGTTACTCATGAGTTCAGATTACATTAAAAAACTTCATTCTTTTTCGTAAATGTAAATATGCATTCTTTTTAAAAAAATGTAACATTAGAGAAAAATTTAAATGAAAAATGAGGTAACCTGTAAAGGTTTTCTATAATCTTTTCCTTTAAAATGAGGATTGCAGGGGCTAGGGTTCGATCCCTGGGCGTGCCGTGCCGGCCCTGCCTCTGGGGCACGCCGAGATGGCAATTGAGACTGGGCATGGTGGCGGAGGCCTGTAATCCCAGCTCTTGGGAGGCTGTAAACAGGCAGATCACTTTGAGTGTGATCTAGTAGTGAGACCCTGAAACCCTGTACATCCTTCCCTAAAATACAAACATAAAATAAAATAAAATAAAATAAAATAAAATAAATGAGGCTAGATAGGTGTGGTGGTATACGCCTATAATCCTAGCATGCCAAGAAGCTAAGGCAGGAGGATCTTGAGTTTGAGCCCAGGCTGCGCAACTGAGTGAGACTGTTTCAAAATAAAATATAAACAAGTGACTGAGGGTGCAGATTTGTAATCCCAGCTCTTGGAAGGCTATAAACAGGTGGATCATTATGAGTCTGATCTAACAGTGAGACCCTGAACACCCTCTAGACACTTCTCTAAAATAAAATTTAAAAAAGTGACTAAGGATGTAGCTCAATGTGGAGGCCCTAGGTTCAATCCGCAGAACCACATGAATGAATGAATGAATGCAAACAGCATGTTACATATTCTTTCATGCTTCTCTCTTAGGTATTTTACATATATGGATATTTCCACAACTGTATTTCCCTAACGTATTTTTCATCTACCTACTTTTCATGTATCAGTTCCTCCCCATTCCCCCAAATATAAATTATATGGCAGCAGGGATTTTTAACTAGTTTCCGGTGTTGTATCCCATAATACTCAGACCTGTACTTGACACATTCAAAGCACATTTTTATTTTGGTGAGTATTTCTTCTTCTTCTTCTTTTTTTTGGGTAGTATCAGGGATCAAATTCAGGACCCTGCACTTGCTAAGCAGGTGCTCATACCACTGAGTCATATCCCCACCTCCACATTTTTATTTTGAAAAGAACAAATGAATCTATTTAAAAAGTAAGTAGTATGGGCTGGGTAGATAGCTCAGCAGCATAAGCACCTGCCTGGTAAGCACAAGGTCCTGAGTTTGATCCTCAGTACTACAGAAAAACGAAAAGCCCTGATAACTAAAAAGTAAATATTACCTGGGCATATAGTTCAGTGTAGAGTACCTGCCTAGCATGCATGAAGTACTGAGTTTGATCCAGGGCCAAAAATAAATAAATAAATATTTTTTTAAAAAAGGTTATGTAGTATTACATTGCTTTTACATCTCTTTAACCTCACAATGGTGGTCCTTATATACAATTTTGCAATGGCCAAAGGCATACATTTCTGATGTTTTCAAAATACATTTTGATGCAGAATTATTACAGTACCAAATTTTTCTGAAATGGTTATAACAATTTATATTGTATTGCAAAATGCTGGAAGATATTTCACTGAAAATACAGAAGATATGAAATCAATATTGACTCCGTAGGGTATGCTCACTAAATAGCTAATACTTGTTAAGTAGTGTGGAAGGTCACCCATTCCACATTGCATACATAGTTCAAAACATGTAGTACATGAGAAATATATATTTTTGTCAATTAAAATAAATTGAAAACATGTAAATATATAAACACAAAGATGGGATGATTCTTTATTAGTCTTTAAAAAAAATCTCTGGGCACTTAACATATGCTCAACACCGTTAAGCACTAAAGGAAAACAAAAAAAAAAAAAGTGAGTCTGTTTTTCTTAGGCCAGAGCTGCTTGTTCCCACTCCAATAGACTACTACCCTAAGCTTAATAACAAATAGTTAACTTGGCCGGTGAATTTCCTTGGTCCATTTCGCAGTCCAGCCTCCTCAGCTTTGCCATGGGCTCTGCTGGGCTGCAAATACTGGGGCTCGTCTTGGTGCTGCTGGGCTGGATGAAAGCTCTGGTATCCTGTGCCCTGCCCATGTGGAAGGTGACTGCTTTTATTGGCAACAGCATCGTGGTGGCCCAAGTGGTGTGGGAAGGGTTATGGATATCCTGTGTGGTGCAGAGCACTGGCCAGATGCAGTACAAAGTGTACAACTCTCTGCTGGCACTGCCCCAGGACCTGAAAGCTGCAAGAGCCCTTTGTGTTGTCACCCTGCTTGTGGCCCTGCTTGGTCTGCTCATCTACCTTGCCGGAGCCAAATGTACCACCTGCGTAGTGGACAAGGATTCCAAGGCCTGTCTGGTGCTCACCTCTGGGATCATCTTTGTCCTCTCTGGGATCCTCACTCTGATTCCAGTCTGTTGGACAGCCCACACCATCATCCAGGACTTCTACAATCCCTTAGCGGCTAAGGCCCAAAAATGGGAGCTGGGAGCCTCTCTCTACCTGGGCTGGGCTGCCTCAGGCCTTTTGGTCCTGGGTGGGGGGCTGCTGTGCTACACCTGCCCCTCTGGAGGGTCTCAGGGCTCCAGCCATTACATGGCCCGCTACATAACATCTGCCCCACATTCCCCCTCTCGGGGGCCCTCTGAGTACCCCACCAAGAATTATGTTTGATGCAGTTATGGGCTGAGGGCTCCATTGGTCTTGGCTCCTGAATTGGAGTCACCCCTAAGCTAAGATGGTGACACTTAACAGCTTTGGGGTTGGTGCTTACCTTTTGCTTTTTGCTGTTTTTATGGGGGGGGGGTGTCTTTTAAATCCATCTGATAATGAAACCAAGATGACCCACAGTCCCACCTGGGCTCTGACATATTCATTTTTCATCGTTGAATGATGGTGCCAAAGAGGCGATGCTTTTAACTTCTGGATATTTTTTTCATTCATAGCATAGCCATCTTGGAAGCCAAACTGGAGCTATGGAACCAACGCAAAGGCTGCTGCTGTTCTGGCCTTTGTGACCACAAGATGGCCTTATACCAGGGGTTTCTGCTGCTGCTGGGGGTGGGGTCAGTCAGACCCATTCCTGGAAGGGCTGATGATTGAGTTACCAGAAAACTGTCCACCCATGACTTCTAACCTCTGGCTCCTGTATCCAGCCACCATGAACACACCCCCCTCAAGTTGGGCCCCAGCTGTGCTGCAGACCCCATGAGCACCTCCAACCCTGCTTGCTTCTGCCTATGCTCTGCTCACATAATAAAACATGTTTTGTTAAAAAAAAAAAAAAAGTAAAATATCTACTTGCTTTGATGTTTCAGCATTAACAACTTTCATCTCTATATACTTACTTGTGCAGATTTAGTGGTTGTTTTTGAAGTCCTCAGAGTTTTCTTATTATAAGCTTTGCCATTCATTTTGATTTTAGAAATAGCAGATCCTCCACTTTTTGCTTTAGAGTCCCGAGTAATTATTGTTAATTCAGGAAAACTTTCCAAAGCATTCTTTGAAACAATGAAGAATAACTAGTATCAGAAGAAAGCTAAACTGCTTTCATTTGTTCAGAATTTACATATAACACATGCACATACTGCAGGTAAGGGACTATTAATGGGACAGTTCATATACATAAACATGGGTAGAGGTTAGATATGGTCACAAATTCTTTGCACCATCTCCCACTGAATGGGGAATCTATTCCTCCTTGAATCTGAGTGGCCAGATTTTTTAAACAATAGCACTATATTGTAGGGATTTCAAAGAACATAATGGTTCTTAATAATACCTCTCTGGCTTAAAGGAAGGGCAGAGGGGAAGATTTGTGTATTTCTTCAACCTTCTACTATTGAAACCATAGTTAACACTCAGCCAAGTCCTACTAATAAGAACTCATCTCATCTCAGGTGAAGACGAGGACAAGGACCAAGAAGAACATCATGAGGCTTCTATTCCGTTACTTCTTTTAACTGTGCAAATAGCACTTGTGACATAAAATTGTAAAACTGAGTTCGATGAATTTTCTGACCAGAAAGACAAGGTAGCTACCAATGACTGTTTTGTGGTTGTGTTCCAGAACCAATTTTAAAAAGCCACGGGAATGTTTATGCCCTTACCTACTTGGTACATCATTCTGACATGAAAAGCTACAATAAAATAACCTAATGATACTTGTAACTTAACTAGCTTGATTATAGCTTCATAAAATCTGACTGAGTCACTGGCATCATTTATTATTTTGACACTAAAATGATTAAAGTACTCCCATATATTTATCAGTTGGAGTAGTCAATCCTCATGCAGTAAGCTGAAAGGACAGTTTTTTCACACTTAAAAGTTTCTAAGTAATAATACTTTAGCCCTGAAAACAGCGCATTTTTAAAACAGGTAACTTGAATTTTTCTTAAGTGTAAGTTTAATAGGGAACTAAGTATCATTTCTCATACAGTAAAGCTTTGAGCATTTTCTACCAGACTGTGCTATCATCAATTTCTAGCTTTGCTCTTTGCTCAAATTCTTCCACCCATCATATACTTTAGTGTTCTGCTTTTAATGTTTTTATTTTTGTGGAAACAGGGTCTCACTCTACAGCTCAGGCTGGCCTTGAGTTCACGGTATATAGCCCACACTGGACTCAAAATTGAAGTGATCATCGCGCCTCACCTCAGCATCGAAAGTGCTGTGTGCTACCATGCCTGGCTAGTGCTCTGCTTTTAAAAATAACCATGCTTGAATAATTTTGAATCCAGAATTAATAATCATAAGAAATGTAATTTAGAGACTAAAAACAGATTCTAAGTTTGAAACACAATGACCCTACTACATCAGTGGAGATGAATGGAGAAAACTTGAATCTTTGTAGGGAGCACAAGATGCTAAAAATAATATGAAGTATGTAGATTTTTGGGGAAAACAGTACCATTAACTTCACACTTGATCTTAGCCAAAAGGCCGAGAAGCAATTTGTATTAACTTCAAAAACTTCAAATTTTCTCCTAAAATGACCACAATCATCAGAGGAAATATTGTTAATTCTTTCTTTGTTTTTTTTGAAACAGGGTTTCACTACATGGTTCAGGATGGCCTTGAATTTACTCTGTAGCTTAGGCTGGTCTTGAACTTGTAGCAGTCCTCCTGCCACAGCCGCCCCAGTGCTGGGATCATGCACCACCACACCTATCACTAATTATTTCTAAAAAAGAACATCTTTATTATCTGTAATATTTTAATTCAAATCATTTGAACTTTGAATACTGTATAATTTGGTTTTGACATGCAAATTGTTAGATGAAATGCATCAAAATTAGTAAGTTTACAAAATTGGGAATATTGTTTTTCCTGTGAAAGCAGAAATAATTTTTCAGTTGTTCACTACAAACTACTAAAAAAGCTTTAGATATCTACTGAGGATTAAATTCTAGCTGGTGGCTTTAACATAAATTATTAGATATCAGATTTGATATTTTTAAATCGTCAAACAAGACTGGTAAGCTTAAATCCTGAGGGCATTTCACTGACCTTCTCAGACCAAAAAGCTACAACTCTTGTTGCATAGGTCCTGCTTTACCTTGGTCTTAACCATCCAG